AATATAATATATTGCTGTGTAATATTGAGATGATTCAAAATTGACGTGATTCCATTTAAAGATTTAAAGGGTATTAGGGGCTCATGTGGAGAGTACGGAAAAATATCGAAAAAATGAACACGAACGAAAAAATTGAACACCATTATCGATTTAAACTTTCAAAAACATATATTTTTAGTTTCGGACAAAAGATAAATTGAAATGACTGAGAATAAGCAGTTTTAAGCTAACAACTAATTGCATTAGTTCACAAGTACTCTTAAAAATTATTCATTAAATATATTTATTTTAATAATATTAGCGCGAAAATATTTGCTTAATATTTCATACGCCCTGATGTGGGCCCCACAAAAAATTTGGAGACCTTTTTTAAGAATTAAAATAAAGCAAGTCTTCCCTTAAAATTTCTGGATTTGGAAAGTGTTCCGTCATCGAAAAACTTTGGAAAACCCTACAGTGATGTAATGCATAGGTAAATGAAGGGCTTAGCTAATCGCAAACGTCTTCACCTACACACGTTCTAGTATAACCGATTGCCTACTATACAATTATAAATTGTGTAAATAACTAGCAATAAAATCACTAAATTAGCACATCTGACAACAACGTTTTGGTGATACTTTTCTGCAAACAGCTGATTGTCAAATAGATCAGACGATTTGTTTGAGTAAAGTTGTATTTAAATGTTATTATTTTCTTATTTATGTCTAGGTGTCGTGTCTCAGAAACAACAGTAAAAGTTTTGCATTGCAATGGAAGCAGAGGAGCACTTACTTGCTCTGAAAGGTATTTTATATGCAGTTTCTACATTAGGAAAATTGCATTTTGCTTCTAGTGATGAGACTTACTCGCCCTACTTTGGCTAGCCCCTTGCCAGTGACTTGCGATAGTAAAGACTTACCAGGCAATTTACTGAATAACGTCCTACAGCAAGATCCTACTGCAGTTCCGGGTTCAGAAACCATAGCTATAGGGCAGTTTCTGCTGCTGCCTCAAAATCCTGTAAACATATATCTAGGAGAGACGTTTTCCAGTTATATCTGTGTATATAGTGAAACTACACAAATTGTATATAATATTACTGTAAAGGTTTGTCATCAAACCCCGGTATACCGCCTGAGACATTGCAATTTGAATTCTAGGTAGACTTGCAAACAACATCCCAAAAGCTCTCATTAGCAAATAATTCCTCAACAACCAAGCTAAATTCGGATGAGACAGTTAATACAGTGATTCACCATGAAGTTAAGGAAATTGGCCCGCATATGTAAGGCCAATAAGCATAATAAATTCCTTTGCAACTTTGCTATTAAATGCTGTAATTTCAGCCTGGTTTGCGAAGTGGCATATCAAAATTCAGCTGGCGTTCTAATGTCGTTTAGGAAATTCTTTAAAATTCAGGTTTTGAAGCCTCTGGATGTAAAAACGAAATTTTATAACGCTGAAAACGATGATGTTTACCTAGAAGCCCAAGTACAAAATATTACCAATGGCCCAATTTGTTTAGAAAAGGTTTCACTGGATGCGTCCCACTTATTTAATGGTATTGGTATTGTTTTTATAAGTGCAACAAGATTTTACTGGATTTTTCCACAAATATTTATAATTCAATGATAAAATAAACACGTGATCAGGGAATTAAAATAGGTGGTCAGTTCCTTAACAAATGAAGACAAAAAACATTTTTCAAGATAAAGTCAACGATGTGTTGAATGTCTACATAATCGGGTATGGCTTAACCAAGGTGGGACTTGCAGCCGAATTTACATTCAGTGTTACTGCACCATTAAAGATGATGATTTCAAAAATTGCAATACTTTTATTTACTGAAAATAGAAAACAAGTAGACAATGAGGCTCTGAGGCCAATTTTTACTGTTTTTGATAATATTTTGTTGCAACTTCATCAGATAAAATCGGCACGCCTTGTATTTCAATTTCACGAGGCAACAATTCTTAGCTTATCGCGTTCGATCCTTACGCTCTCCATCAGTGTTTCTTCTGTTTAAAAAGCAAAATTTATAATCAGCTATTTTATAAATACCTTGTTTAACCCATGATGTAAAGCTTTGCATCGTTAAAGTAAATGTTGGGCAGGCCTATGGATTAAACTTTTTGCACTTTCGCCTTAGAGTTATTTGAAAATGACCCGGACGCTACCCTAAATGAATTACTAAAAATGATGAGCTAATACACTCCTCACAACTTTAAACATTTTTTTTAATGTTTTGCAGTGTTTTTTTTTTCAAATTAATAATAACGCATTTATTTACTAATATGTTTTCTTCATCCGATTTTTTGCTTCTAAGAAATGGTATTACAAAATAATTTCGTTTTCGAGTATTTTGATAATAAAACGCTTTATGTTCACAGTTTATATAAAGGTGTTTCCCGTACAAACTTGCACAGGCTCCAAGTAGTAGTTTTATTCTTGCTCCTCATTTGAAAGAGCAGTCAAAGTTAATAAATTCTAAGTTAATGTGTTGATGATGTCTTAGTTAATTTTAAATTATTTTCTAAATATATAGGATATTTAACTTTGTAATGTAAATTCAATTTTTCTAAATTAACATTTTAGTTTAATGTGCTCAACACGAACAATGAAAATGTTTAAGAGTAAATATGTATGTGTTACCTTCCATACATGAAAAAACCCAATTTAGTTTGCCCATAAATGTAAATATCTACCATTTATTAATACTATCGACTATTTGTGGTTGCAGACAATTTTTTTTTCTGCCATAAACGAACTAACTACCTTAAATCTCTATTACGTTAGTTTTTTCTTGTTTGTACCATTTTTTTTTTAAATTTTTATATATTGGCTCCAAAACTATGCAGAGCAAATAATCTGATGCGCTTTTTAGTTACATGTCTAAATAATACTCCTACTGGCGAAAGTATATTTGGAAATATCACCTTACTACAGCCTCAGTCCATCAGCCAATATTTATATTGCTTGACACCAACCGACAAACTCAGCTCTGATCTTAAATCGCTGAGTGGGGCCACTAACATCGGCAAATTGGACATTGTCTGGAGATCGAATTTAGGAGAAAAGGGCCGATTACAAACTAGTCAACTACAAAGAATGGCAAGCTATGAGGGCCGGAAAATCGATTTAAATTTAAATGTTTTTGTTTTTAGAGTCCAGACTTTGGAGAAATTAAACTGTCTATCACGGAATTGCCAAACTTTGTGGTCATAGAAGAGCTGTTCACATTCAAGTGTAAACTTGCAAATAATGGGTAAGCTAATTATTCTTCAACAACTATGTGTAAAGCAATACCCGACCAATTTAGAAACTATAATTCCCCAACAGTTAATTTTTCTAGGGAAAGAACAGTGGAATTTATATTATATTTGGAAAATACAAGAAACATTGCGTGGTGCGGCATATCGGGAAGGAAACTGGAGGCTTTGCCGCCGCATAGTTCAAAAATTTTAGAATTCAAGTGCATTCCCTTGGTGCCAGGTCTACGAACTTTATCTGGAGTGAAGTTAGTGGATACTTTTACGAAACGGACTTATACCTATGATGAATTAGGACAAGTATTTGTAATTTTAAGTACTAAAACAAGTAGCTAGAATTGTCTACTGGTATTGTTATTACTTAGCAAGTTACACAGTAATGTAACTGTACCAAATACATTTTGTAAGCAACTGCTTGCCTTTCTTCAGTTCATCGAAACCTACATATTGACGGACACAATTTAGTTTATTGAAGATGCTGCAAGAGTTAATAGTTGCCCAATAAATAGAATGGGGAAAAGTGTTTGATCAACCGCAGAGTAATATTATTATATTAGCGGTATAAAGAGCTTTAGAAAATCCACATTAGTTAATTTTATTGGAGACAAACAATTTTTTGTTTTTGAAGCATTTGCTTTTTTATTCGAAACATGTGTTTTCTCCATTGAAGCGCAGTTTCAAACGGTAAAAAAGGTATTAAATAACTTTTCTTTTGTAAAATCTTTATTTGGAAAATGTCTCTCTGTTGTAAAATATATATTTCCTTTGCTTGAGTTAGGCCACGATTTTAATTACAATTAAGCAATTTGAGTTACAAAATTACATAAATTCATAATGCTTAGTTTTCAATATTTAAAAATTCTACTTAGTAATGCGAATTATAAAGCACTTATAAAAACTTACTTAAATTGTATGGATTTAAGCACATATAACAAAAGTATTTGCTGTTTTTGTCTTACGTCTTACATTAGACTTAATAATTTTAACCTGATCTATTTCGTATAAACATTATTGTTGCCCGTAAAACGATTAATATTTACAACTTGACAAATACATGATGATTCTCCTCATCTAAAAAGAGTAATTTAAAAATGTCATTGTAAAAGTTTTCATAATATTTGCATGCTCTTTCGCAATCTGGCATGAAGTTAATTTCCAAAATTTTCGGTTGAATTTCCCCATCCAGCCAATCCAACATCAGATCAACTGCATACAACGCTCTGGACTGTGGACTATGTGCGATTCCACAAGGATGCGGAACTGCAGTTGCACATTCCATAATATCCCTGATCATTCTGTAAATTTTGTTTTCAATTTCGTTCCATTCATGCTTAGCATACTGCTCTTGCCACTTGGTAAGGAACTCGTCGCATTTCATGTGTTTCAAAGTGGCATTTACGTTGTAATTCATTACAGTAAAATGTTTCTCATAGTCATCAAAGGCGTTTAGCGCAAAAGGCTTATTTGCAAATCGGAGAAAGAAGTTTTTATACACATATACCTCTAGAGGTTTTACTTTTTTCAAAAGGATAACGTATCTCACGTCAAATTTTACTTTCCCTTGGCAATCTTCTCTGTAAAATAGGACAGGATTGATGAGATATTCCTGGGCAATTTTAGGCCCTGTAACTGGCAATCTCATTATGTAGTTTAAGTTGTTTGTAATGTGGATGTCCATGCCCCGAGCAAGGTTGTATGGTTTAATGATCCAATAGTTTTCCTTTCCATTTTCTTCACATTTTTCAAAATAACTAACAAAATTGCCTACTTCATTTACCAAGTTGTATGAAACTGGCAGCCATGGAGCTTTCCCAGTGTTGTTTTTGTATCTTCTGCAAGTAATGCACAGTAGGTCTTTTACAGTAAGAATATACTCATAGGGAAATTGATTAACGAATTTATCCGGAGAAGCCTCGCTAAGCAACTGGTAATCCTTGTAGTGTTCTGTAAACCATAAAATGTCTGCCTTATCTACATCATCAGTAGTTTCAAATTTTGGATCCGTTAAATACTGATTGACCAAACTGTACTGGGAGTAGCATAGATATTTAGCCTTTTTTGGAGAAGCTTTTTTGAAATAATCAATATTTGGTAAAGTTTCTGGGATGTGCCCCGCAGTAAAATAAGCTTCATCCGGAATTGTGGTTGCAACATCTAAATGTTGAAAGGAAACAGGTATCCAAGGCAGTAGATAAGCCTTTCTGGAAATGGGGTCTTGAATGCCTTCAGCATAGTCTCTATATGCCAGATCACCTTCTTCGAAGTCAGATTTCAAGAAAAGAAGCGAATATATTTCTTCGCTGGTGTAAATGAAAGGTACAACTCTACAATTGGGGGAGTTGCTGTGATTTATCGCACTTCCAATTTCGTCCATAACATACCAAATTGACTTTTGTGCAGTGGCATTACCAACAGTTCTCACATTGTATGTGCAGTTCGCTCTCCACATATTGTCAAATATCTCGTCTATTAACTCTTCCGTGGGCAAATTGTCGTCTATTCCCAGAATATTCGCCATGCGAAGCCGCAGTCCATCATATTGTAAATGGGTCCGAGCTTCCCTTGGCTCATACGTCCAAGCATGATCAATTAAATAAATATGATCTGAGCAGTTTGCGTCTAAGTCCTCGAGAGCTTGTAATGCCCAAACTGGCTCATGGGGTTCTCTATTTTCCTCATACTCAATTTTCACTAATTGGAAAGAGTTACCTGCATCAAAGGTTTGAGCCGACAGTTTCTGGTATAGGGTTTTCCAATAGATCTCTGGAACTCCGGATATTTGAAGCTGCCCTCTATGCCGATCTAGGAAAGTGTTCAGTGCGGAAATGTGCCCCATGGTATGACGGCAAATTTGAATTTACGAATTTACTTAAGCCTACCCAAGCACAACACTGCCGAATGAATCGGTGGAAAGTTAGGTTATGTGAAAAGAATACGTGTTGACGTTGTCTTGTAAAAGAAAGTTGCTTTGCATGATTACGATTAATTACATTATTTTTTGGCCTGTACAATATATACGTATCCATGTGAATACTAATAAAACAACGGCTTTATTCTGGAAAGTTTATTTATAAAACATAATCCCAATAGAATTAATTACGTCCAATTAAGTTAATACAAAATGAGACCTACTCTTAGATCTAATGCCTGCGACTCTTCCTCTTGGACTTTTTTGCACCTTTGACGAAACACCAATCCACGCCAACTGTTTGCCCCAACAAACTTGAGCCGTTTAGGGCTTCTCTAGCGGCTGCTGCTTCATCGTATGTGCTGTATTCGATTAGCGCGTAACCTGAAACAGATCATAAGTGTAATGCTAGCCCGATTTGTTTGGTATTCAGCAAGCGGCAACCTTTTAAAAAGCCTGTTCTCCTATCCAAGTTAATGCTGATATTTTTAATCTGACCGAACTCCGAGAACTTTTCTGTCAAATCGTCTTCGCTGGCTTCTTCGTGAACTGATGTTACGAAGAGAATCCAGCCTTCGACAGATTTTTGGGGACCTGAAAGCAATAAGTCTCGTGCATACATTCACATATACTAAAATGTAGTTTGGTACCTAGTTCATCCCCATCTCCGTGATCAACACTCTCATAGCCTCTCACTTTCTCGTGCTCGCGAGGCTCACCGGGTCCAAATCCTCTACCTTTCCTCTTGACAACTTTGTCTTTCAACCTGCTAATGCTTTGGTCTCCTTCGTCTTCTACGTCGATATCTCCCACATCGTTAATATCTAAGACGTCTGCCATAGTCCCTTTTCTGCTTTACTTAAATAAAAGTTGCCTCCTTCACTCAACTTTTACAGTAAATAACAAACTTAGCCTAAAAGCTCACAATCACACTCACAATGACCGCAATCGTGTATTTGACAATGACAAGAGAAATTCTTCGTCTGTGAGATTCATTACGTACGATCTTGTCTTTATCTATGCGTACGATATGAGCGTAAATAACTGAATTCAGGTTTGTCAGTGGAGTTTCTAGTTAATTCAATTGTGCAAAATATTATCAGCTAATACTTTTCAAGAGGCTAGCGGTGTGCCGTTTTGGAATTTTATGGGATTGTGACCGGAATTATAATTACGCGAACAATTAAAAAATATATTTTTTTACCCCCTTAATATGGGTTGTAATTAATAAACCCCAATATGATTATTGTGTACGCTTGCTAGAGGGCTGTTGGCTTCTCAAACTCCGTTCAGACTTGCACACGCATACGGTGAGAGAAAGTTGAAAATGCTCTTCTCACCTCCTTCGCTTGCATTATATATATTTTACGATGGCTAACGCACACTTTGCTAGTTTAATTTAGTTATTTTGTGTTTTTGTTAAATAATTTTCTCCCATTTCTAGCTTTATTATTAGAATCCTGTGCGTTATACGTCTGAGCATCACTTGAACGCGCACTCATTGTTTCAAAAGTTTCCTTGCCACTTGCAGCTAACTTCTCTCCAATGTGTCTTGTTTCGTAGTTTTAACCTCAAAAAATTTACTAACTTTTTGGCATAGATGGAGGCAAGTAGCTTTTTGGTTTTTGACCATTTAACACGTGTTTATATTTTTCTATTTGTATCTTCTGTATGCTTCAGGTTTGCTTAGCACATTTGTGGTAAGCTTGTGTAGTCAATATGGTCAAAAAGCAAGTGAAAGGCAGTTTGGCTCAAAAAATTGCCGGAGTGCTAAGTGTGGTGCCCACACAATACGACAGTGAAGAAAATTTAGGCGATGAAGCAAAACTAGTGGACTTTGACGAGGAAATTACTGATGAAGAACAGGCATTGTTAAGTGGGTTCAAAGAGAACAATGTTGATTTTCTGGCAGATGATCCTAGATATGCAGGTGTAAAGGCAAGCCGGAAGCGTATGCAAGCCAATAGTTCGGATGATTCCGAAGAAGAACTAAACAATGGAGGTAAGATTCTGGAAATGGTACATGTGGCATTGCTCTCTTTTTTAGTGATTAGAACTTATCTTTTGGAAATGATGGAATGAGTTTCCCATTTGCAATACGATCTTACCAGATTTAGTACAATACTATCCAAAGCAAGCTGACTATCCCTGAGCAAATTCATTTTCTAAGTTTACTAAACTCTATCTATGTTTTTTGTGGTTTTAAATCTTTACAAACAGCAAACAATCTTACAGCTATAAAAACAGAATGTCAATATGAATTTTTTCTACCACTGTCACTTCCAACGTTGAAAACTCAATTTATGAGTAAGCCAATGGACAAGTTTGCAATATCTGGAAGCAGCAATCTTTTATTAACGTTTGTAAATGTGGTGTAATTTTAATTTAAATTTTCAGTTTTGCTTGTCCTGAGCATGTTAAACTTGCAAAATTTAAAATTGGCGTAAAATATGGGAAAACCTAAGTACTTGGATTTTGAAATACAGTGCGTGTTTTCCTATATTAAAAAGCCCTGCTACTTGGGTTGAGAGTCAATGTTATTTCAATTAAATAGCAGGATTTTATGTTCACTATATTCTAAATCTATCATGGCAGTTCGATTCTAAGGGGGGATGTTCTGTGAGGGTGTTTGAAGAAGAAGAATAGTAGAATAGAAGTTGAGTCACTTTTTACATGAGATTCAGCTTATTTTGCGATCAAATGACAAATTATCTATTTTTTGGTACAAATTTAGATTTTGGTAACAATGCAGAATCAAACGATGAGAGCAGTAGTCAAGATAATCAACAAGAAAACTCAGAAAATGAAGATATTTCCGACGACGCTGAAGATTCAATTAACGAATCCGCAGTGGAAAAGGAATCGGAGGTCGAAGACGAAGACGAATCAGAGGTGGAAAGTGAATCAGGGGATGACAGTTTCAAACACATAAATGAAACAAGTGAACACATTTCGGAACAACTACGAAAGGGCACATGTGTTAGAAATCAATTAAGTATCTGGGAGAGTCTCATAGATGCAAGGATATTTATGCAAAAATGTGTGATGGCTGCTAACACGATGCCCCAAAAATCCAATTATAAAGAGATGATACGTGATGAAAGTGGCGAGTTCCGAAAAAGGGTCAATGAAATCAAAGATAATCTGACGAATGTTCTTGATAAGTTTATCGAACTGCAGTCCTTATTTATTAAAAATTATCCGGACACAAAACATCTAGGAAAAAATGACCTAAAAAGTAAATCTGAAGTGACAGAGAGTGATGAGGAGATTCCTAGTGAAGATGAAGTTGAGGTATGAAGTTAAAATGATGATGGTAAGTTGATATTGAATGAATGAAATGTCTTTTTTCAGGAGGATAAAGCTGACGAATCCGAAGCAGAAGAACAGAGCCTGCCAAGGAAAAAGAGAAAGCTAAATGAGTATGAAAATGATTTAAGTGATTTCTACACTAAGTATAGAAGCTACAGAAATAAAACATTAGAAAATTGGAATGCTAAGACCAGGTAGAAAGGTGCAATGTAAATTTTTAAGCAAGTTATTAAGTTTTATTATTTTTTAGAATATCAATAACCAAGAATTCAGGTCAACCTCATTCAGTCGTTGATCAAATAGAGCACATCTTAAGAGATAAAGAAAAGCTGCGAAAAAAATCCCAGCTTAAGAAAACCGAATATAAAATACTGGGAGAAGAAAGTGAGCCGCAGACATTGCTTGAAAGTAATGAAGACAATGGTGATACTAAGCAACAGGTTGGTGTATAAAACAAACCATATTTAAAGTGTAAAGTATTCTGCTGCTGTTACAGATGGAAGAATACAATACAGAAATATTTGATGACACTGATTTTTACCACCAATTACTACGGGAACTGATTGAATGCAAATCTGCTGATATGACAGACCCAGTGCAATTAGGAAGACAATGGATCCAGTTGCAAGCTCTACGGAGTAAAATGAAACGAAAAATTGATACCAAAGCCACAAAGGGAAGAAAAATTCGGTAAGTTTAAACTACAGTGCGTTAAAGTTCGATTAATGAATAAATAATAAACCTGAATATGTCTCCAGCCTACATATATAATATATCAAAAATTACTTTCTATTCAATAAAAATCAATTTAAATGCAAAAAGCGCTATACTTTTCCTCGTTTCTGTGCATAATAGATTTTTCTCTCAGCATCATAATATATGTATTGCCGACAGATATATTATATTCATGTTGATGACATTTCAAACGACAAACCATTATAGTATTGCTTGTATCAGTAGTATTAGTATATAAAGACTACATAAAGTTTTTTATTTTTAAGGTATGCAGTTCATTCGAAGTTGGTAAATTTTATGGCTTCCAATGAGAATCAACCCTGGACAGAGGAGGCAACGGTTGAACTATACAATTCACTTTTTGGAAAAATTAAAAAACGTGGTTCAGACTAATATAAATTATTGAAAAACATGTTGGACATATTTTTTCGACATTGACTCAATCTTTTCGACATTGTAGGAACAAAACAATTAGAAGTACTTACAAAAGTATATTTAATACTCTCCCTTAAGACATCCTTCCTGTTCCAACTAATCTAATTTATTTAAAAGCATCGCTCTAAATTCGCTGTTGCTTTTCATCTTTGCTCCATCCTGTCCATTTTTTGCTTGCTCTTTATTTTCTCCTGTTCCTTTCATCTGCAATGACCTGGGCAATAAAGACGTTTGAAGTCGGCTCTTCGGGTGCCTAGCCTGTTCTTCATCGTTTTTCTTTTCAAATGATCCTCCAAACATCTGTCTCTCATTTTTAGGCGGTGGAGCGCTTATTGCCACGGTAATTACGTGTTCGTCTATATTCATTTGATCCGTCTGCTTTAAGGCCGCTTTTGCTTGTTGTTCACTTTCAAATTCGATATAGGCTAATCCCTAACAGATAGAAAATAAGATTTTCAACTTGCCCCCACTATAATAGTTCATTTTTCGTTCTGTTGCATTTTTCACGGTTTTCTCCAATCACATTGATATAGTAAGAGCGATTTAAAAAAAATTAAAACGGGATGCTTTAGGGCAAAAATCTTCATCTCAAATACCTTTTTATATCAACCCGCGATTTTTTAGAGGTTTTAAGAATTTAATCAACATGTAACTTTAAATGACGTAAATATCGCTTAATATCAACGGAAAATATATTTACTTATTATACACATATATA